CTGATGCGCATATGGAACGGTAACTTGCTGCTCGATTCGTTGATCATCGTAAAATGCCTTGAGCGAATTTGCCGCGGATTCGCGTGCACCATCGTGGCGAACGAACTTGACCTTGTAGTCAAACTGCGTCTGTACTGCCACGATGTACTTCTTGATGCACTCTTCGCTGTCAGACGTGGCGTGCAGACTGAAACCCTTCATGCATCCGCTGCCTTCATCTACGGTCAGTAGCAAGTACTTGCTTCCACCTAGCGAGTCTGTTGTAACTTGAGCGCGAGGCGAAGAGAAAACGAAGCGGAGAGACCGGAGAGAACGAAGCAGAGAACACTTGCTCACTTGAGGGAGGATTCGAAAGTGATTGATTTATAGGTCTTAACTTCTGCCTACCCTAGACTGCATCCAATCACATGGTGCATCTAATCAACCTGATTTACACGCGTCCAATCATCCTACGCGTCTAATCATCTCTGAGGTAATTACCGATGTAAAAACTATCTCGTAAGAACTACGCGCTAGGTTCGGATTGTACCGGTAACCCTCAATACGCCCCCTCAATCCGAACACGCACGGATGCCAAGCGCCGCCGTCAAGTCCTTGTGACGCGGTCCGTGAAGTCCCTTCGTCATGATGTCCGCCAACATCAACGTCGTCTCGCAGTATTCAAGCTTCACTTCGCCGCGCTTGACTTCATCACGGATGTGATGGTACTTGATGTCGATGTGTTTAGCGCGGCCGTGGTTGACCGGATTCTTCGTCATCTTGATGCACGACTGGTTGTCTTCACGGATGACGAGCTCGGGTCCTTCTTCGTTTGCAGCCGCCATGATCTCGCACAGCAAGCGATTGATCCACTTGCCTTCTTGGATCGCCAGGCTGAGCGCGATGTACTCCGCTTCGCTTGTAGACAGTGACACACTTGGCTGTTTCTTGCTGCCCCAACTCACCGGAGCACCCAATAGCATGAAGACGTAGCCGGACGTCGATTTGCGATCAGCAAGGTCACCGGCCCAGTCTGCATCTGAATAGCCACGAAAGTCGATCTTCGCACTTGGCTTGTAGCAGATTCCATGCATCTTGGTGCATTGTAGGTAGCGGAAGATGCGCTTGACTGCAACCCAGTGTTCTTCTTGGGGTTTCTCCATGAACCGTGACACAACGCTTACAGCATAGGCGATGTCCGGTCGCGTTGCAGTCGTCAGATGCATCAAAGCACCCACTGCTTCACGGAATGGGACATCCACCTTGCTTGCAGAGTTGCTTGGAACCAGTCGAGAGCTGACGTCCACCGGACTTGCCACAGCCTTGCACTCATCCATTCCAAAGCGCTTGAGGACATCGTCGACATAACGGCGCTGACACATAATCACGCTGCCATCTTCACCGTCCAATAACTCGATCCCAAGAACAAAGGCACACTTGCCGCTGTCCGTCATCTCGAAGCGTGTCTTGAGGTCGTTCTTGGTGCGCGCAATCATCTCGAGCGAGCTTCCAGTCACCAAGACATCGTCCACGTAGACCAGCACAAAAACACAATGGCCTTCCGAAGTCATGATGTAGAGACATGGATCGAATCCCGACGCTTGAAAACCAATCGAGCGTATGAACTCGTCGAAGGTCTCGTTCCAAACACGCGAGGCTTGCTTGAGACCGTAGATCGCCTTGATCAGCTCGAGACAGTCGAAATCACCTTCCATCTTGACGCCTTCCGGAACAGCGCAGAACACCTTCTCCTTCATCACTCCATACAGGAACGCAGTCACCACATCGAGCTGGTCGAGGGGCCATCCAAAGTGCTTGGTAATGGCGATGACCATTCGCAGCGTCACATACTTGACCACGGGCGAGAACGTCTCCGTGTAGTCGATGCCATACTTTTGGCGAAAACCCTTGGCCACAAGTCGTGCCTTGTATTTATCGATCGACCCATCCGCCTTGCGCTTGATCTTGAAGACCCACTTTGTGCCAATGGCGCTTTGTCCGTTGGGTAACTTGGCCGCACGAAAGACACCGCGAAGCTTCATCGAATCGAGCTCCGCATCAATTGCCTTGCGCCAGTGTACTTGGTCCGGGCCAGACACTGCTTCTTCAAATGTCGACGGCTCCGAAAAATCGACCGCTGCTTCGACGGCGTTTGCACTCGCATGCCAAAACGCGGAGGAAGTCGGTGTGTCATGTTGTTCCTCCGACTTCCTTTCTTCATCTTCGTTGGCTCGACGTGAAGAGAGGTCATCCGGCGCACTTGACTCTTCCAATCCGGGTCGTTGGCGCACTGCTCGGGGCATGCTTGCGTCGTCATTGTCGTGACTGGGTTGGGCCTTGCGCTTTCCTGTTTGTTTGAAGTGTCTCGGACGCGGTTCTTCATCATCAAGATCGATCGATTCGAAGTCCAGGCCATCAACATCGTCATCGGAAATCAGCATCGACATTCCTAAGGCCGACTCATCGAAGTTGACATCGCGACTTATCATCACCTGCCCCGCTTCGATGTCGTAAACTCGATACGCCTTGGACACTTCTTCGTAGCCCAAAAACAATCCAGCCCGGGCCTTGGGATCCCACTTGAGTCGTTTCTCCTTCGGGGTCAAGATGTATGCTTGGCACCCAAAAACGCGCATGTGCTTGACACTTGGCTTAGAATTGTAGACAATCTCGAACGGTGTCTTGTGTGGAATCTTGGGTGACGGCAAACGGTTCTTCACATAGACGGCCGTCATTGCCGCTTCAGCCCAGAAGCACTTGTCCAACTTGGCATGATGGAGCATGCTACGACCGATGGTGACGATAGTTCGAATCGCGCGTTCAGCAGTTCCATTGGCTTGATGTGCGTATGGCACCGTGGTTTGTTGCTCGATGCCTTCGACTTCGTAGAAATCTTGAAGCGAGTTCGTCGCAAACTCGCGGGCTCCATCGTGTCGCACAAATTTGACCTTCTTGTTGAACTGCGTCTGTATCATCGTGATGTACTTCTTGATGCACTCTTCGCTCTCTGACTTGGAATGCAGACAAAACCCTTCATGCATCCGCTGGCTTCATCCACGATCAGCAGCAGATACTTGCTGCCACCCAGAGATTTTTCTTCCATGGGTCCGCAGATGTCGAAGTGGAGCATCTCGAAGGTGTTGTAGGTGCGCTTGTCACGGTTGCTCGGGAATGGTTTTTGGACCATCTTCCCTTCTTGGCATCCTCGACACACACTTGATCCATTCGGCTTGGAAGGGATGTGAGCGTCCTTGATCATGTGACTTGTCACCATCCTGCGAAGCACGTCGACTGGAGCATGGCCCATTCGCGCATGTAGATCAACAGCGTTGCTGAGTGATGTCGCATTGGCCGATCGCTGCGTCGTGCGAAGCCAGTAGAGTCCGTCTACAAGATCCGCAGCTGCCACCACTTGATTGGAATCCTTGCGAGCGACGTACATCGTATCCCCGTCAAACACCACTTGGAAGTTGCCGTGCTTGTTAATCTGCGGCACCGAGAGCAGATTTTTGCTCATGCTGGGCACATAGAGCGCGTTCTTGATCTCGATCTCGCGCTCTTCCCCGTTTGGCAGAATCACCTTTTCCACGATGGTCCCCACACCTTTGATGGCCGCCTTGTTGCCATCAGCCACCAGGATCTCGCCATCATTGCCTTCGACCAAGCTTGCAAACTTGAACTTGTCGTGGCAGATGTGATGTGTTGCCCCGCTGTCAACGGCCCACATTCCTGGTCCATTCTTGTTCGTCGAAACTCCGCATTCGAACGAAACTGCAAACGCCACTCGATCGTAGCTGTTGCCTTCATCATAATGTCGCCAGTGGACATTGTTTGACCCGCGTCGACGACCATTGCCGCCGCGTTGGGCTCCTCGACTTTCATCCTTTTGCTTCGTCCAGCAACGCTCTGCCGTGTGCCCCACCTTGCCGCAGTATGTGCATTGGTAGGGCTTGCGCTCGGTACTGAATGCCTTTGTCGCATCTTCAGTCTTCACCGTTGTCGTTGCCGTTGTCATCTTCTCGCCTTGTCGCTTGATGTGCTCGTTAGTCAGCACCTTGACCACATCTTGCGTGCGCAGCTCTGCATTGCTCATCTCCAAGTTGAGAACCACGTTCTCGAAACTATTGGGCAGACTGCGCAGTAAGCAGATCGCAACGTCTTCGTCTTCCATCTTGGCACCGATGCTGCTGAGCTTGGCGCCGATGTTCAAGACTTCGTTGCAATGGTGCAAGACGTTGGCACCTTCCGCCATCTTGATGCTGAACAGCTGGCGCTTGAGGTAGATGCGTCCCGCCTTCTGCGACCCACCATAGAGCATCTTCAACCGCGACCACGCTGTCCATGCTTCTTCACAGTTGTCGACCACATGGTGGTAGTCGGCGTCCATGTGGAGCAACATCAACCCGAACGCGATGTTGCTCGCCTTGACGTACTCGTCGGAAGCTCGCGTGTCGGTGAAGGTTGGAGACGTTTCGCGGCTCACGACGTACCAGACTGACTTCGTCAGAAACACGCCGCGCATGTAGCGACACCAGGTTGAGTAGTTGTCCCCATCGAACTTATCGATGGAGACACTGGCCGAGGTGTTGTTGGACGACATGGCGCTTGGGCTCATAACCTGTTGTAACTTGAGCGCGAGGCGAAGAGAAAACGAAGCGGAGAGACCGGAGAGAACGAAGCAGAGAACACTTGCTCACTTGAGGGAGGATTCGAAAGTGATTGATTATAGGCTTAGATTCTGCCTACAATTCGCTGCATCCATCATGGCGAATCCAACTCGACCTTGCTATTCAAACTGCGTCTAATCCACGATGTACTTCTTGATGCAATCATCCTGTCGCGTCAGACTGATCAACTCTGAGGTAATCACCGCTGCAAAACTATCTACGGTAAGAACTACGCCTAGGTACATGCTTCCGGTACCTCAAGAGTCGACTTCCATTGGACCACAAGTGTCGATGTGCTTGGCCCGACCATGGTTCACAGGATTCTTCGTCATCTTGATGCACGATTGGTTGTCTTCCATGATCTTGAGCTCGGGTCCAGACTTGTCCTCTGCGGCATCCAGAATCTTGCATGGCAATCGATGCACCCACTTGCCTTCTTGAATAGCCAGACTTAATGCAATGCACTCAGCTTCACTTGTTGACAGCGACACACTTGACTGCTTTTTGCTTCCCCAGCTCACCGGATTACCCATCAGGATGAGCGCATATCTCGAAGTCGACTTGCGGTCTGCATGGTCGCCGGCCCAGTCTGCATCCGAGTAGCCGCAGAAGTCTATCTTGTCATCAGACTTGAAACAGATGCCGTCCGACTTAGTCCCTTGTAAGTATCGCAAAATGCGCTTGACCGCCATCCAATGCTCGACTTGGAGGTTTTCCATGAAGCGCGAAACGTAACTCACAGCAAAGGCAATGTCCGGTCGTGTCGCGGTCATCAAGTGCATTAAAGCGCCTACTGCTTCACAAAACGGGGCGTCGATTTTGGTTACTGCACTGCTTGGTATGAGTCAAGAACTGATTGGGCTGGTGACGGCTTTGCAGTCGGTCATGCCAAAACGCTTGAGAACATCTTCCACGTAGCGTCGCTGGCATATCGTCACGCTACCGTTGTCGTTGTACACCATCTCGATGCCCAACACGAATGCGCACTTGCCGCTGTCAGTCATTTCGAAACGCGCCTTCAAGTCACTCTTGGTACGCATAATCAGTTCGGTCGAGCTGCCAGTCACCAACACATCATCGACGTATATCAGCAAAAGCACGCACTCGTCACTTGTAATCTTGAGATAAAGACACGGGTCAAAATCGGATACTTGGAATCCAATGGAGCAGACGAACTCATGGAAATTCTCGTTCCATACTCGCGATGCTTGTTTTAGTCCGTAGATCGCATTCAACAATTCGAAGCAGTCAAAGTCTTCATCAACTTCGACCCCTTCTGGGATCGCGCAGAATACCTTTTCCTTCATCTCTCCGCATAGCAAAGCTGTCACCACGTCCAGTAGGTCCAGTGTCCAGTCAAAGTACTTCGTGATTGCAACTACCATGCGCAGCGTCACGTACTTGACTACCGGAAAAACGTCTCCGTGTAGTCGATGCCATATTTCTGCTTGAACCCTTTTGCCACGAGACGCGCCTTGTATTTCTCGATAGATCCATCAGCTTTCCGCTTGATATTGAATACCCAATTGGTGCCAATGGTATGCTGTCCAGCTGGCTGTTTGGGCGCTCGAAGCACGCCACGAAGTTTCATCGAATCCAACTCGGCACAGATAGCTTTACGCCAATGCACTTGATCCGGTCCATCAACAGCATCTTTAAACGTTGTCGGCTCAGACAAGTCAGTACCTTCGACTGCGTTGACACTCGCTCGCCAAAAGACTTGAGGTGTAGCATCCTCGTTATCTTCGTCACTGCCCTTTCGCTCTTCGTCCAGATTGGCTCGAGCGCTTGACCGTCGCTTCGCTTGGTGCGTTTCAAATTCATCCGGTGCACTTGCTTCTTCGAACCCGGTTCCACGACGCTCAGGAAGTGTCCGTTGCAGAGCTTGTTCTTGGCTGTTTGAACGGCTTTTGCGTTTTCCAGTTTTCTTGAACTGCATAGGGTGAGGCTCATCGCTGATGTCCATCGATTCGATATCCAGCGCAGTGTCATCAACAATTTCTTGTAGTAGCGTCGGCGAGAAACTAAACGTTGATTCGTCGAATGTGACATCGCGAGATATCACCACTTGATCCGCTTCAATGTCGTAAACGCGATATGCATTTGACACTTCTTCGTACCCCATGAATCGTCCTTTACGATCCTTTGGATCCCATTTCGATCTCTTTTCCTCAGGGGTCAGCACAAACGTTCGGCAGCCGAAAACCCGCACGTGCTTCACACTTGGTCGAAATCCGTTGACAATCTCGAACGGGGTTTAATCTTGGCACTTGGGCGATGGTAGGCGATTCTTGATGTAGATCGCCGTCATTGCTGCTTCAACTCAAAAAAACTTGTCCAGCTTGGCGTAGTGAAGCATGCTGCGCCCGATCGTCACAATGGTCCGAATTGCCCGTTCCGCCGTGCCGTTGGTCTGATGCGCATATGGAACGGTAACTTGCTGCTCGATTCGTTGATCATCGTAAAATGCCTTGAGCGAATTTGCCGTGGATTCGCGTGCACCATCGTGGCGAACGAACTTGACCTTGTAGTCAAACTGCGTCTGTACTGCCACGATGTACTTCTTGATGCACTCTTCGCTGTCAGACGTGGCGCGCAGACTGAAACCCTTCATGCATCCGCTGCCTTCATCTACGGTCAGTAGCAAGTACTTGCTTCCACCTAGCGAGTCGACTTCCATTGGACCACAAGAGTCGATGTGCTTGGCCCGACCATAGTTCACAGGATTCTTCGTCATCTTGATGCACGATTGGTTGTCTTCCATGATCTTGAGCTCGGGTCCAGACTTGTCCTCTGCGGCATCCAGAATCTCGCATGGCAATCGATGCACCCACTTGCCTTCTTGAATAGCCAGACTTAATGCAATGCACTCAGCTTCACTTGTTGACAGCGACACACTTGACTGCTTTTTGCTTCCCCAGCTCACCGGATCACCCATCAGGATGAGCGCATATCTCGAAGTCGACTTGCGGTCTGCATGGTCGCCGGCCCAGTCTGCATCCGAGTAGCTGCAGAAGTCTATCTTGTCATCAGACTTGAAACAGATGCCGTCCGACTTAGTCCCTTGTAAGTATCACAAAATGCGCTTGACCGCCATCCAATGCTCGACTTGGAGGTTTTCCATGAAGCGCGAAACGTAACTCACAGCAAAGGCAATGTCCGGTCGTGTCGCGGTCATCAAGTGCATTAAAGCGCCTACTGCTTCACAAAACGGGGCGTCGATTTTGGTTACTGCACTGCTTGGTATGAGTCAAGAACTGATTGGGCTGGTGACGGCTTTGCAGTCGGTCATGCCAAAACGCTTGAGAACATCTTCCACGTAGCGTCGCTGGCATATCGTCACGCTACCGTTGTCGTTGTACACCATCTCGATGCCCAACACGAATGCGCACTTGCCGCTGTCAGTCATTTCGAAACGCGCCTTCAAGTCACTCTTGGTGCGCATAATCAGTTCGGTCGAGCTGCCAGTCACCAACACATCATCGACGTATACCAGCAAAAGCACGCACTCGCCACTTGTAATCTTGAGATAAAGACACGGGTCAAAATCGGATACTTGGAATCCAATGGAGCAGACGAACTCATGGAAATTCTCGTTCCATACTCGCGAAGCTTGTTTTAGTCCGTAGATCGCCTTCAACAATTCGAAGCAGTCAAAGTCTTCATCAACTTCGACCCCTTCTGGGATCGCGCAGAATACCTTTTCCTTCATCTCTCCGCATAGCAAAGCTGTCACCACGTCCAGTAGGTCCAGTGTCCAGTCAAAGTACTTCGTGATTGCAACTACCATGCGCAGCGTCACGTACTTGACTACCGGAAAAACGTCTCCGTGTAGTCGATGCCATATTTCTGCTTGAACCCTTTTGCCACGAGACGCGCCTTGTATTTCTCGATAGATCCATCAGCTTTCCGCTTGATATTGAATACCCACTTGGTGCCAATGATATGCTGTCCAGCTGGCTGTTTGGGCGCTCGAAGCACGCCACGAAGTTTCATCGAATCCAACTCGGCACAGATAGCTTTACGCCAATGCACTTGATCCGGTCCATCAACAGCATCTTTAAACGTTGTCGGCTCAGACAAGTCAGTACCTTCGACTGCGTTGACACTCGCTCGCCAAAAGACTTGAGGTGTAGCATCCTCGTTATCTTCGTCACTGCCCTTTTGCTCTTCGTCCAGATTGGCTCGAGCGCTTGACCGTCGCTTCGCTTGGTGCGTTTCAAAGTCATCCGGTGCACTTGCTTCTTCGAACCCGGTTCCACGACGCTCAGGAAGTGTCCGTTGCAGAGCTTGTTCTTGGCTGTTTGAATGGCTTTTGCGTTTTCCAGTTTTCTTGAACTGCATAGGGTGAGGCTCATCGCTGATGTTCATCGATTCGATATCCAGCGCAGTGTCATCAACAATTTCTTGTAGTAGCGTCGGCGAGAAACTAAACGTTGATTCGTCGAATGTGACATCGCGAGATATCACCACTTGATCCGCTTCAATGTCGTAAACGCGATATGCCTTTGACACTTCTTCGTACCCCATGAATCGTCCTTTACGATCCTTTGGATCCCATTTCGATCTCTTTTCCTCAGGGGTCAGCACAAACGTTCGGCAGCCGAAAACCCGCACGTGCTTCACACTTGGTCGAAATCCGTTGACAATCTCGAACGGGGTTTAATCTTGGCACCTGGGCGATGGTAGGCGATTCTTGATGTAGATCGCCGTCATTGCTGCTTCAACTCAAAAAAACTTGTCCAGCTTGGCGTAGTGAAGCATGCTGCGCCCGATCGTCACAATGGTCCGAATTGCCCGTTCCGCCGTGCCGTTGGTCTGATGCGCATATGGAACGGTAACTTGCTGCTCGATTCGTTGATCATCGTAAAATGCCTTGAGCGAATTTGCCGCGGATTCGCGTGCACCATCGTGGCGAACGAACTTGACCTTGTAGTCAAACTGCGTCTGTACTGCCACGATGTACTTCTTGATGCACTCTTCGCTGTCAGACGTGGCGCGCAGACTGAAACCCTTCATGCATCCGCTGCCTTCATCTACGGTCAGTAGCAAGTACTTGCTTCCACCTAGCGAGTCGACTTCCATTGGACCACAAGTGTCGATGTGCTTGGCCCGACCATGGTTCACAGGATTCTTCGTCATCTTGATGCACGATTGGTTGTCTTCCATGATCTTGAGCTCGGGTCCAGACTTGTCCTCTGCGGCATCCAGAATCTCGCATGGCAATCGATGCTCCCACTTGCCTTCTTGAATAGCCAGACTTAATGCAATGCACTCAGCTTCACTTGTTGACAGCGACACACTTGACTGCTTTTTGCTTCCCCAGCTCACCGGATCACCCATCAGGATGAGCGCATATCTCGAAGTCGACTTGCGGTCTGCATGGTCGCCGGCCCAGTCTGCATCCGAGTAGCCGCAGAAGTCTATCTTGTCATCAGACTTGAAACAGATGCCGTCCGACTTAGTCCCTTGTAAGTATCGCAAAATGCGCTTGACCGCCATCCAATGCTCGACTTGGAGGTTTTCCATGAAGCGCGAAACGTAACTCACAGCAAAGGCAATGTCCGGTCGTGCCGCGGTCATCAAGTGCATTAAAGCGCCTACTGCTTCACAAAACGGGGCGTCGATTTTGGTTACTGCACTGCTTGGTATGAGTCAAGAACTGATTGGGCTGGTGACGGCTTTGCAGTCGGTCATGCCAAAACACTTGAGAACATCTTCCACGTAGCGTCGCTGGCATATCGTCACGCTACCGTTGTCGTTGTACACCATCTCGATGCCCAACACGAATGCGCACTTGCCGCTGTCAGTCATTTCGAAACGCGCCTTCAAGTCACTCTTGGTGCGCATAATCAGTTCAGTCGAGCTGCCAGTCACCAACACATCATCGACGTATACCAGCAAAAGCACGCACTCGCCACTTGTAATCTTGAGATAAAGACACGGGTCAAAATCGGATACTTGGAATCCAATGGAGCAGACGAACTCATGGAAATTCTCGTTCCATACGCGCGATGCTTGTTTTAGTCCGTAGATCGCCTTCAACAATTCGAAGCAGTCAAAGTCTTCATCAACTTCGACCCCTTCTGGGATCGCGCAGAATACCTTTTCCTTCATCTCTCCGCATAGCAAAGCTGTCACCACGTCCAGTAGGTCCAGTGTCCAGTCAAAGTACTTCGTGATTGCAACTACCATGCGCAGCGTCACGTACTTGACTACCGGCAAAAACGTCTCCGTGTAGTCGATGCCATATTTCTGCTTGAACCCTTTTGCCACGAGACGCGCCTTGTATTTCTCGATAGATCCATCAGCTTTCCGCTTGATATTGAATACCCACTTGGTGCCAATGGTATGCTGTCCAGCTGGCTGTTTGGGCGCTCGAAGCACGCCACGAAGTTTCATCGAATCCAACTCGGCACAGATAGCTTTACGCCAATGCACTTGATCCGGTCCATCAACAGCATCTTTAAACGTTGTCGGCTCAGACAAGTCAGTACCTTCGACTGCGTTGACACTCGCTCGCCAAAAGACTTGAGGTGTAGCATCCTCGCTATCTTCGTCACTGCCCTTTCGCTCTTCGTCCAGATTGGCTCGAGCGCTTGACCGTCGCTTCGCTTGGTGCGTTTCAAAGTCATCCGGTGCACTTGCTTCTTCGAACCCGGTTCCACGACGCTCAGGAAGTGTCCGTTGCAGAGCTTGTTCTTGGCTGTTTGAACGGCTTTTGCGTTTTCCAGTTTTCTTGAACTGCATAGGGTGAGGCTCATCGCTGATGTTCATCGATTCGATATCCAGCGCAGTGTCATCAACAATTTCTTGTAGTAGCGTCGGCGAGAAACTAAACGTTGATTCGTCGAATGTGACATCGCGAGATATCACCACTTGATCCGCTTCAATGTCGTAAACGCGATATGCATTTGACACTTCTTCGTACCCCATGAATCGTCCTTTACGATCCTTTGGATCCCATTTCGATCTCTTTTCCTCAGGGGTCAGCACAAACGTTCGGCAGCCGAAAACCCGCACGTGCTTCACACTTGGTCGAAATCCGTTGACAATCTCGAACGGGGTTTAATCTTGGCACTTGGGCGATGGTAGGCGATTCTTGATGTAGATCGCCGTCATTGCTGCTTCAACTCAAAAAAACTTGTCCAGCTTGGCGTAGTGAAGCATGCTGCGCCCGATCGTCACAATGGTCCGAATTGCCCGTTCCGCCGTGCCGTTGGTCTGATGCGCATATGGAACGGTAACTTGCTGCTCGATTCGTTGATCATCGTAAAATGCCTTGAGCGAATTTGCCGCGGATTCGCGTGCACCATCGTGGCGAACGAACTTGACCTTGTAGTCAAACTGCGTCTGTACTGCCACGATGTACTTCTTGATGCACTCTTCGCTGTCAGACGTGGCGCGCAGACTGAAACCCTTCATGCATCCGCTGCCTTCATCTACGGTCAGTAGCAAGTACTTGCTTCCACCTAGCGAGTCGACTTCCATTGGACCACAAGAGTCGATGTGCTTGGCCCGACCATAGTTCACAGGATTCTTCGTCATCTTGATGCACGATTGGTTGTCTTCCATGATCTTGAGCTCGGGTCCAGACTTGTCCTCTGCGGCATCCAGAATCTCGCATGGCAATCGATGCACCCACTTGCCTTCTTGAATAGCCAGACTTAATGCAATGCACTCAGCTTCACTTGTTGACAGCGACACACTTGACTGCTTTTGCTTCCCCAGCTCACCGGATCACCCATCAGGATGAGCGCATATCTCGAAGTCGACTTGCGGTCTGCATGGTCGCCGGCCCAGTCTGCATCCGAGTAGCCGCAGAAGTCTATCTTGTCATCAGACTTGAAACAGATGCCGTCCGACTTAGTCCCTTGTAAGTATCACAAAATGCGCTTGACCGCCATCCAATGCTCGACTTGGAGGTTTTCCATGAAGCGCGAAACGTAACTCACAGCAAAGGCAATGTCCGGTCGTGTCGCGGTCATCAAGTGCATTAAAGCGCCTACTGCTTCACAAAACGGGGCGTCGATTTTGGTTACTGCACTGCTTGGTATGAGTCAAGAACTGATTGGGCTGGTGACGGCTTTGCAGTCGGTCATGCCAAAACGCTTGAGAACATCTTCCACGTAGCGTCGCTGGCATATCGTCACGCTACCGTTGTCGTTGTACACCATCTCGATGCCCAACACGAATGCGCACTTGCCGCTGTCAGTCATTTCGAAACGCGCCTTCAAGTCACTCTTGGTGCGCATAATCAGTTCGGTCGAGCTGCCAGTCACCAACACATCATCGACGTATACCAGCAAAAGCACGCACTCGCCACTTGTAATCTTGAGATAAAGACACGGGTCAAAATCGGATACTTGGAATCCAATGGAGCAGACGAACTCATGGAAATTCTCGTTCCATACGCGCGATGCTTGTTTTAGTCCGTAGATCGCCTTCAACAATTCGAAGCAGTCAAAGTCTTCATCAACTTCGACCCCTTCTGGGATCGCGCAGAATACCTTTTCCTTCATCTCTCCGCATAGCAAAGCTGTCACCACGTCCAGTAGGTCCAGTGTCCAGTCAAAGTACTTCGTGATTGCAACTACCATGCGCAGCGTCACGTACTTGACTACCGGAAAAACGTCTCCGTGTAGTCGATGCCATATTTCTGCTTGAACCCTTTTGCCACGAGACGCGCCTTGTATTTCTCGATAGATCCATCAGCTTTCCGCTTGATATTGAATACCCACTTGGTGCCAATGGTATGCTGTCCAGCTGGCTGTTTGGGCGCTCGAAGCACGCCACGAAGTTTCATCGAATCCAACTCGGCACAGATAGCTTTACGCCAATGCACTTGATCCGGTCCATCAACAGCATCTTTAAACGTTGTCGGCTCAGACAAGTCAGTACCTTCGACTGCGTTGACACTCGCTCGCCAAAAGACTTGAGGTGTAGCATCCTCGTTATCTTCGTCACTGCCCTTTCGCTCTTCGTCCAGATTGGCTCGAGCGCTTGACCGTCGCTTCGCTTGGTGCGTTTCAAATTCATCCGGTGCACTTGCTTCTTCGAACCCGGTTCCACGACGCTCAGGAAGTGTCCGTTGCAGAGCTTGTTCTTGGCTGTTTGAACGGCTTTTGCGTTTTCCAGTTTTCTTGAACTGCATAGGGTGAGGCTCATCGCTGATGTTCATCGATTCGATATCCAGCGCAGTGTCATCAACAATTTCTTGTAGTAGCGTCGGCGAGAAACTAAACGTTGATTCGTCGAATGTGACATCGCGAGATATCACCACTTGATCCGCTTCAATGTCGTAAACGCGATATGCATTTGACACTTCTTCGTACCCCATGAATCGTCCTTTACGATCCTTTGGATCCCATTTCGATCTCTTTTCCTCAGGGGTCAGCACAAACGTTCGGCAGCCGAAAACCCGCACGTGCTTCACACTTGGTCGAAATCCGTTGACAATCTCGAACGGGGTTTAATCTTGGCACTTGGGCGATGGTAGGCGATTCTTGATGTAGATCGCCGTCATTGCTGCTTCAACTCAAAAAAACTTGTCCAGCTTGGCGTAGTGAAGCATGCTGCGCCCGATCGTCACAATGGTCCGAATTGCCCGTTCCGCCGTGCCGTTGGTCTGATGCGCATATGGAACGGTAACTTGCTGCTCGATTCGTTGATCATCGTAAAATGCCTTGAGCGAATTTGCCGCGGATTCGCGTGCACCATCGTGGCGAACGAACTTGACCTTGTAGTCAAACTGCGTCTGTACTGCCACGATGTACTTCTTGATGCACTCTTCGCTGTCAGACGTGGCGCGCAGACTGAAACCCTTCATGCATCCGCTGCCTTCATCTACGGTCAGTAGCAAGTACTTGCTTCCACCTAGCGAGTCGACTTCCATTGGACCACAAGAGTCGATGTGCTTGGCCCGACCATAGTTCACAGGATTCTTCGTCATCTTGATGCACGATTGGTTGTCTTCCATGATCTTGAGCTCGGGTCCAGACTTGTCCTCTGCGGCATCCAGAATCTCGCATGGCAATCGATGCACCCACTTGCCTTCTTGAATAGCCAGACTTAATGCAATGCACTCAGCTTCACTTGTTGACAGCGACACACTTGACTGCTTTTGCTTCCCCAGCTCACCGGATCACCCATCAGGATGAGCGCATATCTCGAAGTCGACTTGCGGTCTGCATGGTCGCCGGCCCAGTCTGCATCCGAGTAGCCGCAGAAGTCTATCTTGTCATCAGACTTGAAACAGATGCCGTCCGACTTAGTCCCTTGTAAGTATCGCAAAATGCGCTTGACCGCCATCCAATGCTCGACTTGGAGGTTTTCCATGAAGCGCGAAACGTAACTCACAGCAAAGGCAATGTCCGGTCGTGTCGCGGTCATCAAGTGCATTAAAGCGCCTACTGCTTCACAAAACGGGGCGTCGATTTTGGTTACTGCACTGCTTGGTATGAGTCAAGAACTGATGTCTTTGGGCTGGTGACGGCTTTGCAGTCGGTCATGCCAAAACGCTTGAGAACATCTTCCACATAGCGTCGCTGGCATATCGTCACGCTACCGTTGTCGTTGTCCACCATCTCGATGCCCAACACGAATGCGCACTTGCCGCTGTCAGTCATTTCGAAACGCGCCTTCAAGTCACTCTTGGTGCGCATAATCAGTTCGGTCGAGCTGCCAGTCACCAACACATCATCGACGTATACCAGCAAAAGCACGCACTCGCCACTTGTAATCTTGAGATAAAGACACGGGTCAAAATCGGATACTTGGAATCCAATGGAGCAGACGAACTCATGGAAATTCTCGTTCCATACGCGCGATGCTTGTTTTAGTCCGTAGATCGCCTTCAACAATTCGAAGCAGTCAAAGTCTTCATCAACTTCGACCCCTTCTGGGATCGCGCAGAATACCTTTTCCTTCATCTCTCCGCATAGCAAAGCTGTCACCACGTCCAGTAGGTCCAGTGTCCAGTCAAAGTACTTCGTGATTGCAACTACCATGCGCAGCGTCACGTACTTGACTACCGGAAAAACGTCTCCGTGTAGTCGATGCCATATTTCTGCTTGAACCCTTTTGCCACGAGACGCGCCTTGTATTTCTCGATGGATCCATCAGCTTTCCGCTTGATATTGAATACCCACTTGGTGCCAATGGTATGCTGTCCAGCTGGCTGTTTGGGCGCTCGAAGCACGCCACGAAGTTTCATCGAATCCAACTCGGCACAGATAGCTTTACGCCAATGCACTTGATCCGGTCCATCAACAGCATCTTTAAACGTTGTCGGCTCAGACAAGTCAGTACCTTCGACTGCGTTGACACTCGCTCGCCAAAAGACTTGAGGTGTAGCATCCTCGTTATCTTCGTCACTGCCCTTTCGCTCTTCGTCCAGATTGGCTCGAGCGCTTGACCGTCGCTTCGCTTGGTGCGTTTCAAAGTCATCCGGTGCACTTGCTTCTTCGAACCCGGTTCCACGACGCTCAGGAAGTGTCCGTTGCAGAGCTTGTTCTTGGCTGTTTGAACGGCTTTTGCGTTTTCCAGTTTTCTTGAACTGCATAGGGTGAGGCTCATCGCTGATGTTCATCGATTCGATATCCAGCGCAGTGTCATCAACAATTTCTTGTAGTAGCGTCGGCGAGAAACTAAACGTTGATTCGTCGAATGTGACATCGCGAGATATCACCACTTGATCCGCTTCAATGTCGTAAACGCGATATGCCTTTGACACTTCTTCGTACCCCATGAATCGTCCTTTACGATCCTTTGGATCCCATTTCGATCTCTTTTCCTCAGGGGTCAGCACAAACGTTCGGCAGCCGAAAACCCGCACGTGCTTCACACTTGGTCGAAATCCGTTGACAATCTCGAACGGGGTTTAATCTTGGCACTTGGGCGATGGTAGGCGATTCTTGATGTAGATCGCCGTCATTGCTGCTTCAACTCAAAAAAACTTGTCCAGCTTGGCGTAGTGAAGCATGCTGCGCCCGATCGTCACAATGGTCCGAATTGCCCGTTCCGCCGTGCCGTTGGTCTGATGCGCATATGGAACGGTAACTTGCTGCTCGATTCGTTGATCATCGTAAAATGCCTTGAGCGAATTTGCCGCGGATTCGCGTGCACCATCGTGGCGAACGAACTTGACCTTGTAGTCAAACTGCGTCTGTACTGCCACGATGTACTTCTTGATGCACTCTTCGCTGTCAGACGTGGCGCGCAGACTGAAACCCTTCATGCATCCGCTGCCTTCATCTACGGTCAGTAGCAAGTACTTGCTTCCACCTAGCGAGTCGACTTCCATTGGACCACAAGAGTCGATGTGCTTGGCCCGACCATGGTTCACAGGATTCTTCGTCATCTTGATGCACGATTGGTTGTCTTCCATGATCTTGAGCTCGGGTCCAGACTTGTCCTCTGCGGCATCCAGAATCTCGCATGGCAATCGATGCACCCACTTGCCTTCTTGAATAGCCAGACTTAATGCAATGCACTCAGCTTCACTTGTTGACAGCGACACACTTGACTGCTTTTTGCTTCCCCAGCTCACCGGATCACCCATCAGGATGAGCGCATATCTCGAAGTCGACTTGCGGTCTGCATGGTCGCCGGCCCAGTCTGCATCCGAGTAGCCGCAGAAGTCTATCTTGTCATCAGACTTGAAACAGATGCCGTCCGACTTAGTCCCTTGTAAGTATCGCAAAATGCGCTTGACCGCCATCCAATGCTCGACTTGGAGGTTTTCCATGAAGCGCGAAACGTAACTCACAGCAAAGGCAATGTCCGGTCGTGTCGCGGTCATCAAGTGCATTAAAGCGCCTACTGCTTCACAAAACGGGGCGTCGATTTTGGTTACTGCACTGCTTGGTATGAGTCAAGAACTGATTGGGCTGGTGACGGCTTTGCAGTCGGTCATGCCAAAACACTTGAGAACATCTTCCACGTAGCGTCGCTGGCACATCGTCACGCTACCACTGTCGTTGTCCACCATCTCGATGCCCAACACGAATGCGCACTTGCCGCTGTCAGTCATTTCGAAACGCGCCTTCAAGTCACTCTTGGTGCGCATAATCAGTTCGGTCGAGCTGCCAGTCACCAACACATCATCGACGTATACCAGCAAAAGCACGCACTCGCCACTTGTAATCTTGAGATAAAGACACGGGTCAAAATCGGATACTTGGAATCCAATGGAGCAGACGAACTCATGGAAATTCTCGTTCCATACGCGCGATGCTTGTTTTAGTCCGTAGATCGCCTTCAACAATTCGAAGCAGTCAAAGTCTTCATCAACTTCGACCCCTTCTGGGATCGCGCAGAATACCTTTTCCTTCATCTCTCCGCATAGCAAAGCTGTCACCACGTCCAGTAGGTCCAGTGTCCAGTCAAAGTACTTCGTGATTGCAACTACCATGCGCAGCGTCACGTACTTGACTACCGGAAAAACGTCTCCGTGTAGTCGATGCCATATTTCTGCTTGAACCCTTTTGCCACGAGACGCGCCTTGTATTTCTCGATGGATCCATCAGCTTTCCGCTTGATATTGAATACCCACTTGGTGCCAATGGTATGCTGTCCAGCTGGCTGTTTGGGCGCTCGAAGCACGCCACGAAGTTTCATCGAATCCAACTCGGCACAGATAGCTTTACGCCAATGCACTTGATCCGGTCCATCAACAGCATCTTTAAACGTTGTCGGCTCAGACAAGTCAGTACCTTCGACTGCGTTGACACTCGCTCGCCAAAAGACTTGAGGTGTAGCATCCTCGCTATCTTCGTCACTGCCCTTTCGCTCTTCGTCCAGATTGGCTCGAGCGCTTGACCGTCGCTTCGCTTGGTGCGTTTCAAATTCATCCGGTGCACTTGCTTCTTCGAACCCGGTTCCACGACGCTCAGGAAGTGTCCGTTGCAGAGCTTGTTCTTGGCTGTTTGAACGGCTTTTGCGTTTTCCAGTTTTCTTGAACTGCATAGGGTGAGGCTCATCGCTGATGTTCATCGATTCGATATCCAGCGCAGTGTCATCAACAATTTCTTGTAGTAGCGTCGGCGAGAAACTAAACGTTGATTCGTCGAATGTGACATCGCGAGATATCACCACTTGATCCGCTTCAATGTCGTAAACGCGATATGCCTTTGACACTTCTTCGTACCCCATGAATCGTCCTTTACGATCCTTTGGATCCCATTTCGATCTCTTTTCCTCAGGGGTCAGCACAAACGTTCGGCAGCCGAAAACCCGCACGTGCTTCACACTTGGTCGAAATCCGTTGACAATCTCGAACGGGGTTTAATCTTGGCACTTGGGCGATGGTAGGCGATTCTTGATGTAGATCGCCGTCATTGCTGCTTCAACTCAAAAAAACTTGTCCAGCTTGGCGTAGTGAAGCATGCTGCGCCCGATCGTCACAATGGTCCGAATTGCCCGTTCCGCCGTGCCGTTGGTCTGATGCGCATATGGAACGGTAACTTGCTGCTCGATTCGTTGATCATCGTAAAATGCCTTGAGCGAATTTGCCGCGGATTCGCGTGCACCATCGTGGCGAACGAACTTGACCTTGTAGTCAAACTGCGTCTGTACTGCCACGATGTACTTCTTGATGCACTCTTCGCTGTCAGACGTGGCGCGCAGACTGAAACCCTTCATGCATCCGCTGCCTTCATCTACGGTCAGTAGCAAGTACTTGCTTCCACCTAGCGAGTCGACTTCCATTGGACCACAAGAGTCGATGTGCTTGGCCCGACCATGGTTCACAGGATTCTTCGTCATCTTGATGCACGATTGGTTGTCTTCCATGATCTTGAGCTCGGGTCCAGACTTGTCCTCTGCGGCATCCAGAATCTCGCATGGCAATCGATGCACCCACTTGCCTTCTTGAATAGCCAGACTTAATGCAATGCACTCAGCTTCACTTGTTGACAGCGACACACTTGACTGCTTTTTGCTTCCCCAGCTCACCGGATCACCCATCAGGATGAGCGCATATCTCGAAGTCGACTTGCGGTCTGCATGGTCGCCGGCCCAGTCTGCATCCGAGTAGCCGCAGAAGTCTATCTTGTCATCAGACTTGAAACAGATGCCGTCCGACTTAGTCCCTTGTAAGTATCGCAAAATGCGCTTGACCGCCATCCAATGCTCGACTTGGAGGTTTTCCATGAAGCGCGAAACGTAACTCACAGCAAAGGCAATGTCCGGTCGTGTCGCGGTCATCAAGTGCATTAAAGCGCCTACTGCTTCACAAAACGGGGCGTCGATTTTGGTTACTGCACTGCTTGGTATGAGTCAAGAACTGATTGGGCTGGTGACGGCTTTGCAGTCGGTCATGCCAAAACACTTGAGAACATCTTCCACGTAGCGTCGCTGGCACATCGTCACGCTACCGTTGTCGTTGTACACCATCTCGATGCCCAACACGAATGCGCACTTGCCGCTGTCAGTCATTTCGAAACGCGCCTTCAAGTCACTCTTGGTGCGCATAATCAGTTCGGTCGAGCTGCCAGTCACCAACACATCATCGACGTATACCAGCAAAAGCACGCACTCGCCACTTGTAATCTTGAGATAAAGACACGGGTCAAAATCGGATACTTGGAATCCAATGGAGCAGACGAACTCATGGAAATTCTCGTTCCATACTCGCGATGCTTGTTTTAGTCCGTAGATCGCCTTCAACAATTCGAAGCAGTCAAAGTCTTCATCAACTTCGACCCCTTCTGGGATCGCGCAGAATACCTTTTCCTTCATCTCTCCGCATAGCAAAGCTGTCACCACGTCCAGTAGGTCCAGTGTCCAGTCAAAGTACTTCGTGATTGCAACTACCATGCGCAGCGTCACGTACTTGACTACCGGAAAAACGTCTCCGTGTAGTCGATGCCATATTTCTGCTTGAACCCTTTTGCCACGAGACGCGCCTTGTATTTCTCGATAGATCCATCAGCTTTCCGCTTGATATTGAATACCCACTTGGTGCCAATGGTATGCTGTCCAGCTGGCTGTTTGGGCGCTCGAAGCACGCCACGAAGTTTCATCGAATCCAACTCGGCACAGATAGCTTTACGCCAATGCACTTGATCCGGTCCATCAACAGCATCTTTAAACGTTGTCGGCTCAGACAAGTCAGTACCTTCGACTGCGTTGACACTCGCTCGCCAAAAGACTTGAGGTGTAGCATCCTCGTTATCTTCGTCACTGCCCTTTCGCTCTTCGTCCAGATTGGCTCGAGCGCTTGACCGTCGCTTCGCTTGGTGCGTTTCAAATTCATCCGGTGCACTTGCTTCTTCGAACCCGGTTCCACGACGCTCAGGAAGTGTCCGTTGCAGAGCTTGTTCTTGGCTGTTTGAATGGCTTTTGCGTTTTCCAGTTTTCTTGAACTGCATAGGGTGAGGCTCATCGCTGATGTTCATCGATTCGATATCCAGCGCAGTGTCATCAACAATTTCTTGTGGTAGCGTCGGCGAGAAACCAAACGTTGATTCGTCGAATGTGACATCGCGAGATATCACCACTTGATCCGCTTCAATGTCGTAAACGCGATATGCCTTTGACACTTCTTCGTACCCCATGAATCGTCCTTTACGATCCTTTGGATCCCATTTCGATCTCTTTTCCTCAGGGGTCAGCACAAACGTTCGGCAGCCGAAAACCCGCACGTGCTTCACACTTGGTCGAAATCCGTTGACAATCTCGAACGGGGTTTAATCTTGGCACTTGGGCGATGGTAGGCGATTCTTGATGTAGATCGCCGTCATTGCT